TGGAGGAAAACAAAACAAAAAAATGGCAGAAAACTCCACACAAAGGAGAAGATCTTAGTATTAAGAAGACCTAAAGGCGGGACGCCTGAGTGGCTCAGTGGGTTAAGCATCTGCCTTTAGCTTGAGTCCTGACCCCAGGGTTCTGGATTGAGTCCCGCATTGGGCTCCCTGCTCAGCGGGAGCTTGCATCTCCCTTTGCCTGCAGCTCCCCCTGCTTGTGCGCGTTCACTCTCTCTGTCTGACAAATAAATAAATAATATCTTCAATAATAATAATGAACTAAAGGTAACTTCAGGACAACGAGGGCGGGACGGGGAGAGGTTCCGATTCTCTGTAGGTCCGGAGCTCCAATCCATCTCAAACTGGCTCATGTAAGGGGTGATCAGGTGAAAAACCGAGTTGGGTGTCTCCTTGGCTGAAACTGTTGGTTTTGCAAAACAAAACACATTCCTTCCCTGCTTTTGTCCCTTCCCCTCCTCCTTTCTGCTGAGTAACTTCCCATGGCACCCTAGCCAATAATGGTACAACAGGAGGGCACCTGTTTGGCATAGTAGATAGAGCATGGGGCTCTTGTTCTCGGGGTTGTGAGTTCAAGCCACAGGTTGGGTGCAGAGATTACTCAAACTTAAAAAAAAAAAAAAAAGCCTGTTACAAACACTGCATATTGTATAGTTCTATTTGTATAATTCTATTTATATGTCTAAAAAATGCAGATTTATACAGACAGGAAGTACATGAATGGTTGCCTGAGGCTGGTAGTAAGGATGGTGATTGTAACTGGGCACAAGGGTCTTATTGAGGTGATGGAAATGTACTAAAACTGGACTGGTTGATGGTGGCACAACTTAATTAATTTAATTAAAAATCATTCAATTATACCCTTAAAATGAGCAGATTTTATGTTATATAAATTATACCTCAGTAAAGTTGTTTTTATAAAAAGAAAAATGTCAATGAGAGTGTAAATTTGTGTATATATAAAGCACTTAACATAGTGCCTGGAACATAATAAGTGCTCAATAAATGTACTTAATTTTAGGGGCACGTGGGTGGCACAGTCAGTTAAGCATCCAGCTCTTGGTCTTGGCTTAGGTCCCAAGCTAGCCCTGCATGAGATTGAGCCTGCACGAGCTTGGCGCTCAGTGTGAAGTCCACTTACACCATTTCTCTCCCTTTGCCCCTCTCCTCTGCATGCTCACACACTCTCTCAAATAACTAAATAAATCTTAAATAAATGTAGTTAACTTTTTTTCCTCTTAAAATAAACTCTACACCCAACATGGGTCTTGATCTCATGACCTTGAGATCAGATGCTCCACCAACTAAGCCAGTCAGGTGCCCCATTTCAGGAGACTTTTTGCTGGGTCTGATAGGAGGAGTAGTTGCTGCTGACACCGTCCCCTTCCTCCTTATCCCCAAGAATGACGATGGGATGTCTGGAGCTTCAGCAGTCCCCTTACCACCATGAGGAGCACACCTCTGAGGGCCAAAACCAGGTTGTGAAATATAGACAAAGGTGAAAGCAGTCTTTTTCTTTGGTGACTTTGTTGAGCATTCAGCCAATACCATTAAATACCTCCCTTCAGACTTCTTACTGCACATGAGGAAAAAAAAACCTTGTATTTATTTAAGGCACTGTTGCTAGGGTTTTTTATTTCTGGTAATAGAACACATTCCTCAATGATAGTATCAATAAGACTGAAGTGAGACCCTTGAGAGATTTTTCTAATGGAGGAAGATGGACATGTAAACAAATCCAGGCACTTGGGGAACACTTGTTTGTGGAACTCTGTAAGGGGTGAGGTCATGGACTGCAGCAAGGAGTCCTTAGTTACATACGGGCCTCTGGCTCAGGTGACCGGGTAGATGACCTCCCCAGGAACTCAGATGCAAAACCTAAGAGGTGGAGCTCGTTTGTGGGGCAAATACATTCGTTCTCTATTGGGCACGTGGGTGGGTTTTAGGTGCTCATAGGAATCCAGGGGGAGGGATCCAGAGACGGGTGGATGTTTGGGTCTGAACACAGGGGAGAAGATTATGCTGGAGTACAGGATGGGTGTCATCATGTGCACATGAGTGAAGCTTGAGAGTGTGTTTTGAGCTCTTGTTTCAGGCTTTATGTTAAGTGCTTTGTATTCTTACCACCACCATCATCATCCATTCCGAAGCTAACATTTACGGAGCACTTAATACATGCCAATTTGACTTCTTAGTACTTTACCTGCATTATCTCATTCAGCTCTCACAACCAAGAAAGGGAAGTACTGTTCCAATTTTAGTTGTAATCGAGGATTAGAGAAGTTAAGTAACTTGCCCCAGGTCATACTGCTAGTGACTTGTGAAATCAGAAACACCTAAGGAGAGTTTGTAAAGGAGACAAGAGCCCAAAAGACAGAGCACCATGAGGACAGCAACATATTTTCAGTTCTTTAAATATTTTTTAAGTTAAAAATTAATTTTGGGGACACCTGGGTGGCTCTGTCGGTTACACATCTGACTCTTGGTTCCAGCTCAGGTCATGATCTCAGGGGTGTGGGATCAAGCCCTAAGTTGGGCTCTGCATTCAGTGTGGAGTCTGCTTGGGACTCTCACTCACTCCCCCCCCCCCCCGAATAAATAAGTCAATCTTTTTTTTTAAAATATTTTATTTATTTATTTGACAGAGATCACAAGTAGACAGAGAGGCAGGCAGAGAGAGAGGAGGAAGCAGGCTACCTGCTGAGCAGAGATCCTGATGTGGGGCTTGATCCCAGGACCCTGGGATCATGACCTGAGCCGAAGGCAGAGGCTTTAACCCACTGAGCCACCCAGGCACCCCAATAAGTCAATCTTTTAGAAAATTAAGGTATCATGTACATTGAATGTTATGGACAACTTATAAGTGTACAGTTCAATGAAAATTTTAAATGTGAACACACCAGTGTAATAATCACCATCCAGATCAAGAAACAGAACACTAGTAAAATGGGTGCCTGGGTGGCTCAATCGTTAAGTGTCTGCCTTTGACTCAGGTCATGATCCCAGGGTCCCGGGACCCTGTGGGCCTCCCTGCTCAGCAGGAAGCCTGCTTCTCCCTCTCCCACTCTCCCCACTTATGCTCCCTCTCTCTCTGTGTCTCTGTCAAATAAATTAAAATTTTTAAAAGATTTTATTTATTTATCTGACAGAGATCACAAGTAGGCAGAGGCAGGCAGAGAGAGAGGAGGAAACAGGCTCCCTGCTGAGCAGACAGCCCGATGTGGGGCTCAATCCCAGGACCCCGGGATCATGACCTGAGCCGAAGGCGGAGGCTTTAACCCACTGAGCCACCCAGGTGCCCCAATAAATTAATAATCTTAAAAAAAATACTAAAAGAAACAAAACAAACACCCAAAAACAAACAAACAAAAAACCCTCCCACATTATTAATACCCAAACACCCGGGAAGCATTTTTTAGGCTTCTCTCCCATCATTCCCTGTCCCACATCCAAAGGTAATCCCATCTTTGGCTTTTTTCACCATGATTAATTTTGTTATGAATTAAGGGGTGGGACAGGAAAGATGAGCTTTAAAAGGTGACTAAGATAAACTGATCAGGGAAATGGGAAAACGTCGAGAGCCTGACTTAGGCTTCAACTATCATGTGCTCACACCAACTGGAAGCTTGTGATACAAAGTAGCAGCGATCCTGGAAAATCCTCTTTGGCAGTGCTGGGAAATGTAGCAAGATCGAATTCAGAATAGTTGGTAGTCACAGCAGTACTAGCAACTGTATCCATGCCCAGGTCAATGGAGTCAAAAGGCATGCTGTAGCATGGGTAATTTTGGACATTTTTTAATGATTCTGGTTGTGAGAATTCCACTTTTCTACCGAACCTATCTGAGCGTCCTGTAGGCTTCCTCGCCCATCATCCCTCATAATCTGGGAGCTCCTTAGAGCGACTCAGTGCCCCTTAGGAACCGTTCCTAATGACTTCTAGGTACCCCCTCAACTCTCCAGAAGTACGTCTAATGACTCCCAGGATCTTCTCCCCCGCCCCAAGAGTTCCTCCTAATGACCCCCAAATCCCCGCTCATTGAAGAACTGCTTTTTAATGACCCTAAGGACATCTCCCCTCCCCCAGAGCTCTTTCCCCTTCAGGAACTGCTCCTTTCAGGAAACGTCTCATCTTGCCGGCTAGTGAGAGGTTTCCCATGATACGGGACTTTCAGTTTTCAAAACCAAGGCAATCTCGGGCAAAACGGGACAAGTTGGTCACCTTATCAGAAACTGCTTGATCTCGGAAGCTGCCCCTAAGGGCTCCAGCGCACGTCCACCTTAGGCAAGGGTCCTACTCACTCTACAAAGACCGTGCCCCACCCTTTCATTAGTAACATCCTACAATAATCTCACTCTCCCCACCCCACCCGACCGTCCCATTTCTAGGCGCTCGCCTTTTTCAATGCTGATTAGCTACGGGCGGCCAGAAGCCCTCCTATGATTGGCCAGCGCCGCGATTCAGCCAAGATGCTCAGTGGCCGCAGTCCCGAGCTGTACAGCGTTTCCTCCTGGCAACAGCCCGACCCGGCGCTCATAGGCTGAGCAGACTGATATGCCCGGACTTTTGGGCGACTGCAGCGCGTGCTCATTGGCTGTTTGAGGAGTGATAGCGGCCCTCAGATTGGTTGATGCTGTGCGTCTGCGCGAGGACCGACTTTTTGGAGGAGGCGGAGCTTCGTCCTCCGCCGGCTGGAAAAGCGGTAGGTACGGTTAGCGGCGACAGCAGGAGCCAAGCCTTAGCCCTGCCGGGGCAGTGGGCTTTAGGTAAGAACGATGCCGTTTTGGAATCCTTTAGGTTTGTTGCTGCTGTGGCCGTGACCGTGAGCTCCGATGGGGGAGGGGCGGGGGGTTTGCCGTCAGCGGAGAGTGATAGGCATGGTTCTTGGCCAATGGGAACAGGAACTTCTAAAATGGGTCCTGAGATTGGTCCTTTCTAATCTCTTATGGCCAATGCACATCGGGAAGGGAGGCGGGTGTACTGGGCCTTATTTTCTTCTTCCTGCGGCCGGGCCTCACTCGCCTAGGCGGCGGGGCCGGGAGGGGCTGTCCCTCTACGAGGTGAGGTTCGGGGACCTTGGGAGCGGGGGGCTGCCTTGGGAATGGTACCCGCGGGGGCACCTGCGAGGGGAAGGGGCGGGAGTTAGAGGAGGTTGTTAGCTACAGCGACCTTTATTGAGTTACTAAGTACCGGGCCTAGTGCTTAGCGTTTCGCTTGCATCATGAGTTAATCACAGCAACCCTGCTGGGCCAGGAGGTTGGGATCCCCATTTTACAGGTGGGGAAACTGAGACTTGAGCAACTCACACAGCCAAGGTCACACAGCTAATAAATGGAAGAGACCGGATCTGAATTCAGAGTTGTTTTGATTCCGGAGCCGGGGCTCTTCAACCACTAGGCTTTGTTGCTGAATGGGGGAAATGAAGGAGTCAGGGAACAGGAGCTTTCCCCAGAGAATAGGTTGGGGGAAGGGAATCCTAGGGTTGAAGAAGGGCAATGAGCAACTGAAGTGGGGGCGAGGAAATCAGTTATTCAACAATTCCCAAGCGTCTGCTCTGTTCTGTGCATTGTTCTAGGTTCTAGGCATACAAAGATGACTAAATCCAGAGGCGCCCGGGTGATGGGGCCTAACACCCTGTTCACATGATTATATGTTTTTGTAAAATTGGCTGAAGTAAGATACTTTGTGTTTTTAAAAAAGAGGGTCTTGGAAATTGGTTAAACTTGAGGTGCCTCCACACTTGGATCTTCCCTGGCAAAGGGCTTAGTCTAGGTGGAAATTATGATGTAGGCGGCATAGGATAATGGCAGAAGCACTGGGAGTGCATTGCAGGATGGTGGGGTGATGACCTGCCGTGTAAAACGGGGATAGTCGTATAACTTCCATGTAAAGTTTTTGTGAGGTGCACGAAAAGCTCCTGGCCAAGAACATACTTCGTTGTTTTTGGTGAAATGGAAGCTTGAGAGATGTGGGTAGTAAGGCTTGTCTTCTCTCCTTCCTTAGACAGTTCTGTGCCATGCTGTCTTCCTAGTCTGTTAGTAGGTTGCTGGTAGGTTGGAGGCAGTTGCTTGAGGCAGTTGCTTCCCTTCTGAGTTCTTCAGCTCTCAGGGGAACTCTTGGAGCTGAACTGCCATGGGTTTGGAGCCCAGATTCGGGGAGTTGAGGGAGATGTTTTTGCTTCTAAAGTGGCTCCTTTCAGCTGGTATGCTTGGTTCTTACTTGGTTGGAATAGTCTATTGTGTTACCAGGCCCTGGGATGCACCCACTTAGTTGCTGGCCTCATCTAGAAACAGTATTTCACCTTTTCCAATCAGTTTGAAGTTTGTCCTGTATTGTCATTGTATTGCCCATTTAAATTTTGTCTTTTGAATTCTGGGTATGGTGCAGTTGAACTAGTCTCTAGCTTGACCTCCTGTGGTACTGCTGAAATGACATTTTGGTTTAGGTAGAACAGTTTCAGTTTAGGGTTTGAAATACTAACATCTGAGTACTTTTTTAACTCTTAAGCTTTGTAATCTTGTACCCAAATAACTTTCCTTAGGAATCTAGAGTCCTATTTTAAAGTTGTGCCCTAAACTTTTAAGGTTGTGCCCTAAACGGGAGCCCATAGGTGGTGGTTGTTGTTTTTAAAGATTTTATTTACCTATTTGACAGAGAGACACACAGCTAGAGAGGGAACACAAGCAGGGGGAGTGGGAGAGGGAGGAGGAGGCTTCCCACAGAGCAGGGATCCCTATGTGGAGCTCAATGCCAGAAACCTGGGATCATGACCTAAGCTGAAGGCAGAGGCTTAACGACTGAGCCACCCAGGTGCCCCTCCCCCGTTGTTTTTTAAATCTAGTTGTTTAAAAAATAAATAAGTAAATCTGGTTGTAATACATTAACACGACCCCCCCAGCCCAAGCAATTATCAAAAGGTGAATAGGGAGGAACTTGAAAGATAGGAGTAAAAGAGGGGCAGGGCAGCTGTAGAATTGTTAAATGGGACCAACAATTTAGTAACAAATTTTAGCTGAAACAGTGTTTCCATTTAAGTGAGATTTGATTACATACAATTTTGATACATTGAATTCTTTTCTTTCTTTCTTTCTTTCTTTTTTTTTTAAAGATTTTATTTACTTATTTGACACACAGAACCACAGCCAGAGAGGGAACACAAGCAGGGGAAGTGGGAGAGGGACAATCAGGCTTCCCGCTAAGCAGGGAGCTAAGCAGGGAGCCGGATGTGGGGCACGATCCCAGCCTGGGATCATGACCTGAGTTGAATGCAGACGCTTAACAACTGAGCCACCCAGGTGCCCCAATACATTGGATTCTTTTAAGCAGAGCCTTTTCTATTTGTATTCTTGTTCACTTAAATAACCTACCTAGAGGCAGATTCCAGCTGCGAGGTCTTAATGCTTCTTCAGGATTTCTACACCTTTTACTGTTTCAGCACTGACATTCCCAGCATTTTTTTTTCTTTCTTTCTCAAGTTTTATTTAAATTCCAGTCAGCTAACGTAGAGTGTAATATTAGTTTCAGGTGTAGAATTTAGTGATTCATCACTTATTTACAACACCCAGTGTTCACAACAAATGCCCTGCCTCCTTAATATTCATCCCTCATTTACCCATCCCCCCGACATTCCCACCATTTAGTTCTTTTTTTTTTTTTT